ACCCTCCTCAGAACCCTCCTCAGAACCCTCCTCAGCACCCTCCTCAGAACCCTCCTCAGCGCAGGCTCCAGCTTCTCCAGCCTTTCTTTAAGAGGAGGGGAGAGAGGGCACGGGGGACGCAGCGTAGCCTGGACGAGAAATGCCAATTCCTCTGTCCATGGAACAGTGACCGCTGCGAGGGAGAGCCCGGGGCCTCCGGCAGCACAGTGATTAGTGCATAGACTAGTTAGTCCATAAACAATCTCCTTCAAGCCTGGCTGAGTTGCAGCGTGCTCTTTAGAAAAAAATTTCTCCTGTAATGTGGAAAATTCAATTACAGGATGACACTAAGCTGTTCACATGTTAATTACTTCCACTGTCAAAAAAAGGATATAGAAGCATAGGATAGTTCATATTGAAAAACACCTCTAAAATCGAGTCCAACTGTTAACTTAGCACCACCATCTTCACTATGAAATCGTGTCCCCAATTACCAGATCTAGATAATTTTTGAACACTTCCAGGAATTCCACCACTTCCCAGGGCAGCCTGTTCCAATGCCTTACCACCCCTTCCGTAAAGAAATTTTTCCTAACAACCAATCTAAACCTCCTTTGGTGTAACGTCAGACCGTTTCTTCTTGGCCCTGTCACTTGTTCCTTGGGGCAAGAAACTGCTGCCACCTGGCTACGACCTCCTCTCACGTAGTTGTAGAGAACAGTCAGATATCCCCTGGACTTCATTTTCTCCAGGCTAAACAACCCCAGCTCCCTCAGCTGCTCCTCATATGACTTACTCTCCAGACTCTTCACCAGCTCTGTTACCCTTCTCTGGACAGGCTCCGGCACCTCAATGTCTTTCTTGTACTGGAGGGGTCAGAACTGGACACAAGATTCAAGGTGCAGTTGCCTGCTGGCAGCTTGTCAGCGGGGAAAAAGTGAAGAGGTCTGCATTGCCCCATCAGGTGTGTGGATGAACTGGGGAATGATGCCTTGCCTGTACAAGTATGCCACCAGTTGTGGTGAGGTCTGACTCTCTCACCCCAAGCCATCAGCCTTGCAAAAATCTTGTCCATAATTTTTCCCCATTACTTCTTTATCCTTTTAATCGTTATGCTGATAACTTCTCTGATTAGTCCAAAAAAGCAAGCAGCTTCTCTAGAACAGCTTTTTGGACATATCGGGAGAGTGCTGCATTTTAAAAAACAGTGCTACTTAGCATTTTCTATAATTTTTAATGGCAAAAAACAACCGAAAGGAATGGAGGCAGTAGCAAATTGATAGTAAAAATCAATGGTTAATTTATAATCAAAGACACATGCATTTGGAGATTATAAGCAAACAGCATGCATATCAGCAGCCCATTTAATTCAATTATCCAAATTGATGTGCTACTTTTGTTGATGTCCTAGTTACAAGGGCTGGAACCAGTTTGTTGCTATGTGGGTATAACCAAAACTGTGTATTCTATACCCTCTATGTAATTTCTGATGAACTCTTAATAAATGGGTTGTTTGCAGCAGCTGCCCAGGGCACACCTGACACCTCAGGCTACAAGATGAGTGTTAAAGAAACCCTTCGAGGTAGGGGAGTGTTCTTCTGTTTTCACACCAATGACTCAGTTGTGATAACTTTCCTCTGGAAAGGCACCTTCACACCCAGCCTGAGGGGTCATCTCTGCTAATGGGTCACAATGGACGGGCATAATAGGCAGCTGCAACACCTAGACCATCAAAGATTCCAAAAATATGCCATGACTCACAGAGTTAAATCACCCGTTGTGAAACTTCCCATCCTGGGAGAGGTACTGAGCATTCCCACCTTAACTTGAGCATATATAAACTTCAGGTTTTGAGACTTCTGGTGCCACTTGTCGGACTGAGAGGAAGACCAGAACTTCAACAGGACTTAGAACAGCATCCAGACCAACAGGTTTTCCTTTCCTTTTACTTAGCACCCAGTGGGGCCACATGGTGCTCAGCACAGGGGCTAATGAATACTGTTCTGTTCTTGTCCCAGAGTGCTGGGTTATGTGTCTGTCTTTGGGGATTAAAACCAGTTTTTTTCTGTATCATTGTACTTATTGTAATCTTTTTGGTAAATTGTAACTCTGACTCTCGAGTTGGATTCATTTCTCCCGCCGGTTCGCTCTTAAACCAGCACAGTTGAATGTACATAATTTCAAGGGCCACTCTATTTCTGAGGGATAAGAACAGACAGGTAGAGTCAAAAGATGCAAAACCAGTCAGAATGGGTCTTATAAAGGAACAGGCACATGACATTTGCATCACCAGCACTCTCTCCCTCTCATTGCTCTTCTACCCTTTTTATGTAGTGAGCTGGGGACACAATACTTGTGCTGAAAGAACCTTTTTTGTATATAAGCTTGTGGAGTCTACAGAGCCATGGCACTCAGTACATGCACCAAAAAATGTCCATCTAGAAGAGTTATCAAAACTTTCATGGAAGTATTTGAGATAGGGTGTCTCTCCTTCCCTTTTTTTGCATTCAAACCAAGACACACAGCCTTAAATGCAAGATCATGTTGCCTTCCTCTCCAGGAATGCCAGACAGCAGAAGTGCTGGGAAGTCAGGTCTGGCTGCAGGTGTTCCTCACAGGGGTGCTGGAAACCACTAGCCCTTTAGGGTCAGTCCTTCAGCTGCAACAAAATGTTTGCTTGGCCGCTGAGATCAATATGTGCAACATCAAGCCTTGAGAAAATCTGATCTTTCCAGAACCCCCCTGCCCCCCACTTTCCTTTTTTTTTTTTTTTTTTTTTTAGCATGTAGCATTGAAAGGGTTTGTCCCTCTGGTACCTGAGGGATGTGGTCACATGCTTGGTACTTACTGTTTAGCTAGTTCCGTTGATATTTGCTCCAAAGAGCATCCTTTTGTCTCTGGTATAAACACAATAACAAAAGCCAGGGACACTAGGCTCATTATTGTGTAAATGAAGCACACCCAGGACAAGCCAATGAGCTCTACAAAGGAAGAAAACATGTCTTTTAGAATTTTCTAATATTGCATTTTTTATTTCTCTTCCTGTATTTTATAGTATACAGCCCGTAATGCACAGAAGTTAGAAAGAAGCTAGGGTGTAATTCCTTAGCTCACATAGCTCAAAAAAGAAGAGTGGCTTTGCTTTTTCTAATACTCCTTATGAAAGAAAATTGATAAGCCCATATTGATCCACTTAGCATGAACCTGTTGATTTATTTTGCTTGTGGTCACTCTGGATGAAAACAGTGAGTAGCCATTGCTACTGGCTTGTGCCAAGGCAATGCAGATCACAAGAGCCTTGAACTTTTGCCTGTGTATGGTTTTGGTCCACATTCTTTCATGAAGCAAATCCAAGCATGTTTTAGACTGTTAACGGTTGTCTCCAGTTAATCCTCCCCACCTGTCAGTTCCCAGCATTTCCACTGTGAGTCACGGGTCCTGTGCTAGAAAGTGATCCAAGACTGAACTCCTAAGGAGCTCATCCAAGAACTAGCTGTTTTCTGAGCCTACAGTCCAGGGGCAGGTAGGTCCTCAGGCTGCGGGATGAACTCTGCAGCCCCTAGAAAGTAAAGCACATGCAAACCCAACAGGCTGCTACAGCCGCCTGTACCCTGCTAGAACAAAGCTGGAGCACTGAGACATTTGTCAGTTTCATCACGGGCTAAAAGTTGCAGTTGAAGCTTCTAATCCAGCTGGTATCTTCTGCATCATATACCTAAGTGCAGGTGCTGCTGGCCACTGTGACCTCCACGTGTATTCTTTGACAGTAGAATTTCCAATTCTACCTTTCTGTAGTAGAATTTCCAATTTTACCTTTCTGTTGTAGAATAAGAATGTACTTACACTTTCATAAATCCAGATTAGACCCAGCTAAGCCAACAGAGTTACTGGAGCTTTACAGTCATTGAAACTGAGACCAGGATAACAGTGAGGTGTGCACTAACAAATAACACTCCATGAAAAAAGGGGACCTTCAGGTGAAACTGCTGATGCTGAGCACCTGAGGCCTGTGCTGTCTGGTTTTGGGGATGTTTCTTTAGGAATAACTCTAATCTGGTCCAAGTGTTAGCAGCTGGAGTGCATTCACTACACATTTTCTTGTTTGGTTTTGTCCAAAAGCCTGTGCAGTTCAGGAGTGCAATTCTGTGATGCAAACCAAAGTGCAGTGAGTGACGGTTTCCTTCTGAAGAAGACCGTTGATCTAGTTAAAGTGCTAGTGTGGACACACTGAATATTACCTGGCATATTTTTCCTATTTTTAATCAAGAAAGTACTCAGGAGGGGGGTTATTATTGTTATTACTATTTCTCTCTCTATTTTTTTTTTAAGAAAAGAAAACACAAATGTGAAACCCCATTTTAGACACAGATCACACTCATTTTCAAATCTGTCTCAAAAAACATCTAATGGGTTGATTGTCTGCCTCTGGTGGAGAGTAATGTGGAGTTAAAGGAAATTCTGGAATTTCTACTCCCTTATATATTTTGATTTTCAGCATATATTTTCCTCAGAATAAGACTGAAAACTAAAATTTTCAAAACTTTGTATAATATAAAATTAGGAAAAAATTGCTAATCAGTAAATTTCAGCATCAGCATTTAACCTTTTCCTTTGATTATTGTCACATTAGAAGCTACTATATGGTAGTCTACTTTCTCACATTAAAATGCGAAATATTTTTAGCTCACAAAGACACTTCTTTCCTAAAGAAAGTTTTCTCAAAGCCAACACATTCCTGTGAAAAGGAATGAATTAAATGAGAATGTCTTTAAAAATGTCTGATCAGAAAAGCTGTGGTCTGATCTAGAGCAGAACTTCCATTGACTTTGGAAGACGCAGGACTAAATTCTAAATATTATGTTTTCAACCTACTAAGGCAATGGTGTTTTGAAGAGCTGGATTTCACAGCCTGTGGAGTTGATGTGCAAGGTGGTCTGATAGCTAGCACTGTGAGGCTGAAATTACTAGCACAAATGTAGAAAGATGTTACACCAACACCTAAACAGAGATCTTGGCTCCTGGGGCATCACAGTTGCAATTTTAGCAATGTTGTTTGTATAGGAAATATTTATTTTGCTCACTAAGAGAATATAAATTTGGAAGGACACAGAGAAATCTTACCAGTTACAGTCAAAAATGTCAAGGAGATGAGGAGATTTATACCCCAGTTCATGCTAGATGTCAAAGCCATGGCCCGTCCTCTGATCCCACCAGGGAAAATTTCACTCAGGACCAGCCAGGACACTGAAATAGAAGGAAAAAAAAATTGTTGTCTTTGAAAGGATGGCTTTCCTTGCTGCAAATTTAGGTAGTCAATGAATTCAGGTGAGGCCACCTGAAACAATAAAGTTATTTTCAGGGGGTTAGGTTTGTGAGGACCCATGCTCTGCAAGCAGCATGTGTAGCAGTCAGCATCACCCCAGGTCACCCCCCCTTCATCCCTGAGTCAAGGACGGGTGGCACTGGACTGGGAAAGTGAGCTCTGACTGCACATCTGCGTATGAAAGGGAATTCTGACTAAATAACTCTTGATATAACACTAATGGAAGTGGGGCAGCAAACCAAAATAATCTTCAGCCTCAGAGCGGCACTGTGTGTTTATGCCACCTTATAAATCAAGCTGCCACACTGAAGTATGTTTGCTATTCCAGCTCTCTGCTCCATATAAATGAGATTGCTAAGATATAAATGAGATTGCTAAGGTATAAATGAAGAGAGAGGGACTGATTTTTGACTACTTCTTATCACACCACACCACAGGTGATCTAAATGCTGGTGTTGCTAGCTCACAAAAGCAAATTCAGATGTGAAGAGCTGGCTGTGTAACCACTTGATAGCAAGAGCAATTAGAAAAAAAAAAAAGACAAAAAAAAGACACCACATATTTGTACCATTTCTGATTATTAGAAGACAAACAAAGAAAACCCCACAAACAAACCCAAACCCTAACCAAAAACTGCCTCCTTTTGATGATAAGCAAGATGCATTAACAAGAGGTTGCTGTGTGGAGAGGTTGTGGGTTAGCAGATGACCAGCACAAGAGCAGAGAGGTACACCACACATGGATGAACTACGGCTTCAGACCCTTGGTGATGCAATAATGGCCATCATTATAAAAACAACAATTCATCTGTGCTGTTGTTTCTGCAAAATGACAGATGAGAGTTTTCTCAGGACACTTGAACTGGGCAGTCTTAAAGATATATTTTAAAAATAGGCTCCTGTACACCTGTACATGCAAGTGTGTTTCATGCTGCCCTATCCCTTTGGATGCTTGTAGAGTTCCTCTGTGACAGTATTGGTAAAGGTAGAAGAGAAAAAGGTGATCCAGAAGGAGACTAGACAGGACTAGCAAAAAGTGGGGAAAAAACCCTAAGCCTTGAATCAACTGAGTAGATTTGAGCAAACTCTAGATTTCTTTGTACCAGAGATTTGAATTCAAAAATATTTTGTGGACCTGGCCCAGATATTTATGTTTTTTAGGGAAAAATATAAAAAGCTTTGCTCCCACAGTGGGAGTGACCCAGAAGAGTAATGATTTTATTCTGCAGAATCAAGACCATTCTGCTTAAAGGCCTAACACTGTTGGGCATAGTCAAGTGGCACACAGCTATAACACAGCCACCAAGTCTAACAGCAGGCAGATTTTTTTCTCTTTTTTTTCTGACTTGGATCACATCAAAGTTTAATACATTCACCGCTGACAAAACAAATGTTGCTCTGAAGAAATGCCCTCAGTCTGTTCTGTAGTGTGCTACAGATGAGGAAGGAGCAAAGAAGAAGCAAACTGACTTCTCAAGCAGGTGTTTTTTCCCTGCCAAGCAACTAGCCCTGTACCTGAGCAAATTCATGGGTATATCATGATTGTATTTTGCCCCTCCTCAGCATCAGGGCTGCTGAAACCAGTATTGTTAGTCACATCTGATACAACATGTCACGACAGGGAGTGCTACCTGAAAAGCAAAGCAGTAAGTGAGAAGCAAAGGAGCCCTTCTGAAGGGCTTCAGCACAGCTGCTGAAGTTTGTCTCCACAGGATGGCCTGGCAGCCAGCAGCCAGCTCAGCTGGAAAAATTATTATACACTGAAAACTGGCAAAGGGGATATTTACAGTCACATTAGGATTAAAATAAAGGTTGAAAGAATTCAAGCCCACTTTCTGCAGGGCATAAACCAATCTCCAGGAATAAAGCAGCATTGTGGGCACTAGGGGATGGCTCATGCCACAGCTGAAATGCGTGACACTGCAGCAGTTCCAATACCATGCAGTTCCCCAAGGACAGATTGGCCCTTTCATGCTGACTATAATTTGTCTGGAGGTTTGAAACATGTTGGTTTTCTGTTAAGAAACTAAAATACTTGAGGATCTGCATCAGCCACAATAGTGGTTAGCTGCTTTTACTGCAACCAGTTACTTAGTTCAGACAGATCCCATCAGTCTGCTACTGGCAGCTACATCCGCTGGCTCTGACCTCCGCTTAGCTGGCAAGGAGTGGATAGGCTTATTCCTCACAGAGAAAGAGCAGTTGTAGAAATCCGACACTACAGTCTGTTTATTCCTTTCACCAAGCTGAGGCAGCAATAACGATCGATTCTTTGCTTTTAGCACTTCTATGGGATTGTGTATATTGTTTGTACCTTTGCCAAAAAGCAGCAGCTGCTGCAGGTATGGCAGGGATGTGACTTTCTTGGGGGGAGCCAGCAACTAGGTTCAGGCTCCAATTCATAATGTCTGCTGCTACCTTCTGTGTTGTGTGCACACAACACTGAAAAAATTTAACCTACACGCTCCTGAAGTCACTGCCAAGTCAACTGTGTGTTTTGCCTTCACCAGCCTAAGCAGCGGCATTCTACAGGGGAAATCAGCCTATCCTTGAAAAGAGGATCCAAATATCACCCCCCCCCTCCATCTACTGTGTAATCTAACAGTATTTCAAAAGGATGTTGTGATAGCAACCACATTGCACACACAATAGTTTTCAGTGCCTGCTCCAGCCACTCTTGCCCGATGTTAGTGGATCAGATGGGAAAAGAGCTAGAGCTGGTGCTCTCCGGGTCAGATGTAGATAAGAGATATGGCTAAGGGCTAGACAGCAGGAGTCTCTGTGCTAGATTCCACAACTGCAGGGTTTGTTGCTGCAGGCAGTAACTCACCTTTACTGACCTGCAGTGTGCTGTATGTTGACAACAGTTAAGAAAAATTGTGCAGTTTAGTGGTCCTTTATTATGGTACAATCCAGAAAAAAACCCACCTACTGCAAATGCAGACAAAAATACTGTATTGGATCAGAAAGCTTAACTGTTTCATTAAATATCACAAAAACGAAATGCCCTGACATTCCTTGCCCAAGTGGGAAGAGCAGAGGATTCAGGTATACAAACAGCCCCTTGACCACGATGGTGACATTCACCTCTAAACAAAGTCGCAGGGGCTGTAAAGGCAGGAAACAGAATAATAATGGAAGATTTCTCCTTCTTCCATTAAGGCTGAATAAATTGCATAATGGAACACAGTGCTGGGAGTATATTTTAGATACCAGAGATGACGGCTTCTTTTAGCACTTTGCCTGATACTTAATGAGAGAAAAAAGTCAAATCATGCTTCAGTGCTAAGCATGGGTAGTTCAACTGTAGTAGCAACTGTGACCAAGATGCTCTGCTACACTGGTTATAACATTTTAAATTCACTATTCTTGAAGAAATGGAAAAGAAAGAGCCCACCATATTTTGTTTCAAAAGGAGAACAATATTAGCATAAGCTTGCTTTCTATAAAGATCAGGGTAAATTCAGTGATGCTATGGAGACTGTTTAAATTACCTGGTTAAAGGCTTAAAATACACATATAACCAAATAAATGTGAAATAGCTCAGCCCAGATAAAGTACTGAATGAAAAAAACTATTAGAAAAAGGAATGTGCCTTTCCTAAAGGTGTACACTGTGTTTGAACAAAGAAAACAGTATGACTGCTGAAACATTACTAGCAGTACCATCATCAAGCAGCTGAGTGTTTTGAGATCGTGCTGCCTGAGAGGATGAGAGGACAGGGACAGAGGAGCTGACATGCCAACACTGAAGAAAACATTCCATTAGGATGCAGGAAGGGATCAGCCTGGTACACTGTACCAAGCTGTTGGCTGGAGGTAGGATATAGGTAACTAATCTCAGCTGGAAAGAGGGATATGTACAGTGTCTTCAAGAAGAGTTGAGAAAAACCATGTCTCTTTGAAAGAGTTAAGGCATGGGGTTAGAACTGAATGAGCCACTGCGCTTTTCAGTCTCAAAGAGCTTTAGAGAAATGTTGTGGGATATAAAAGAAGCTATTCCTATGGATCAATAACTGTTTGTTACAGGAAACAAAGGACATGGCCAGTTTTCAGAGCGGAAGACAATTACTGTATTTCCAGATCTCTCAAGAAAGGGAGGTGAATGTATGTGCAAAACTTACCAATGGTACAAAATCATTCGGGGTAATAAAAATTAAGGATCATAAAGAATTGCAAAAGGATCTCAAAATATTGAGTATTTTGAAAAGCAACCCATAAAATTCCTTATCAACACACGCAAAGTAACACACAGGGAGAAAACCAGACAGCAGTACACACACCAGCTGTGCTCGGGACAGAAGTGTTAAAACCTCCATGGTCAGCTCAGGGACAGTATCAGCTCTGCAAGACAGAGGTCATGGCTGCAAAGGTTTGGCAGTTATTAGGAAGGCAATGAATGTGCCATTGAGCATGCTGTGCCTCTGTATTTGTCATGTTACGTGCCAATTTGGTCAACTCAGAACTAGATGAGCCATGGAGAAATGTGCGTAATGGGCTCTGCAAAGACCAGTTAAACAGGTGAGGACTCTTCAGCTTAGAAAACGTAGAGCAGAGGGGAACAGAGTTGCAGTGGAGGTGAAGTGAAGACTGGTTTTAGTCACATTTTTAAAGACACAAGCCAAGAGAATCCAAGTGAAATTACCAGGGACAGCAGTGAGGCGGGAGGATATGCTTTTACAGACAATGTGTATTTCAACTATGGAACTCACTTTCACAAGATGTTTCATATGTGAAAAATATCGGTGAGTTAAATCATTAAATGCTGGTTGTCTAAACATTATTTCTCTGTATGTGTGAAAAAAGATCCATCAAGAACTACTGTTTACCATAACAAAAATAAATCCTCAACATTTTTCTTGAAGTTTGGAGACCTACCGGTAGGTGGAAGGACACACTCCGCATGTTGCACGGGCCTTTTCT